AACTGATATATCGGATCATTATTTAGTTGTAGCTACAGTTAGAGTAAGAGGTAGATGGGACAAGAAGAAGGTGGCAACAACAAGTAGGAGGGAAGTGAAAGTGTATAAACTAGGGGAGGACGAAGTTCGGGTGAGATATAATCGACTATTGGCAGAAAGGTGGGCTAGTGCAAAGATGAGTAGTGGGGGGATTGAAGAGGGTTGGATGAGTTTTAAAAATGCAGTATCAGAATGTGGGGCAGAAGTTTGTGGTTATAGGAGGGTGGGGGCAGGAGTAAAGAGGAGTGATTGGTGGAATGAAGAAGTAAAGGGTGTGATAGAAGAGAAAAAGTTAGCTTATGAGAGGTTTTTGCAAAGCAGAAGTGTTATATGAAGAGCAGAGTATATGGAGAGTAAAAGAAAGGTGAAGAGAGTGGTGAGAGAGTGCAAAAGGAGAGCAGATGATAGAGTGGAAGAGGCACTGTCAAGAAATTTTAATGAAAATAAGAAAAAAATTTGGAGTGAGTTAAACAAGTTAAGAAAGCCTAGGGAACGTATGATTTGTCAGTTAAAAACAGAGTAGGGGAGTTAGTAGATGGGAAGAGGGAGGTATTAGGTAGATGGCGAGAATATTTTGAGGAACTTTTAAATGTTGAGGAAGAAAGGGAAGTGGTAATTTCAAGCACTGGCCAGGGAGGTATACCATCTTTTAGGAGTGAAGAAGAGCAGAATGTAAGTGTGGGGGAGGTATGTGAGGCATTACATAGAATGAAAGGGGGTAAAGCAGCTGGAACTGATGGGATCATGACATAAATGTTAAAAGCAGGGGAAATATAGTGTTGGAGTGGTTGGTGCTTTTGTTTAATAAATGTATGAAAGAGAGGAAGGTACCGAGGGATTGGCGGAGAGCATGTATAGTCCCTTTATATAAAGGGGACAAAAAAAAATTGTAAAAATTATATGCAAATAAGTTCACTGAGAATACCAGGAAAAGTGTACGGTAGGGTTATTATTGAAAGAATTAGAGATAAGACAGAATGTAGGATTGTGGATGAGCAAGGAGGCTTTAGAGTGGGTAGGGGATGTGTAGATCAAAGTTTTTACATTGAAGCATATGTGAACAGTATTTAGATAAAGGTATGGAAGTTTTATTGCATTTATGGATTTAGAAAAGGCATATGATAGAGTGGATAGGGGAGCAATGTGGCAGATGTTGCAAGTATATGGAATAGGTGGTAAGTTACTAAATGCTGTAAAGAGTTTTTATGATAGCGAGGCTCAAGTTAGGGTGTGTAGAAGAGAGGGAGACTACTTCCCTGTAAACGTAGGTCTTAGACAGGGATGTGTAATGTCACCATGGTTGTTTAATATATTTACAGATGAGGTTGTAAAAGAAGTAAATGCTAGGGTGTTCGGGAGAGGGGTGGGATTAAATTATGGGGAATCAAATACAAAATGGGAATTGACAGTTACTTTTTGCTGATGATACTGTGCTTATGGGAGATTCTAAAGAAAAATTGCAAAGGTTAGTGGATGAGTTTGGGAGTGTGTGTAAAGGTAGAAAGTTGAAAGTGAACATAGAAAAGAGTAAGGTGATGAGGGTATCAAATGATTTAGATAAAGAAAAATTGGATATCAAATTGGGGAGGAGGAGTATGGAAGAAGTGAATGTTTTCAGATACTTGGGAATTGACGTGTCGGCGGATGGATTTATGAAGGATGAGGTTAATCATAGAATTGATGAGGGAAAAAAGGTGAGTGGTGCATTGAGGTATATGTGGAGTCAAACAACGTATGTATGAAAGTATAGTAGTACCAACACTCTTGTATGGGTGTGAAGCTTGGGCTGTGAATGCAGCAACGAGGAGGCGGTTGGAGGCAGTGGAGATGTCCTGTCTATGGGCAATGTGTGGTGTAAATATTATGCAGAAAATTCGGAGTGTAGAAATTAGGAGAAGGTGTGGAGTTAATAAAAGTATTAGTCACAGGGCTGAAGAGGGGTTGTTGAGGTGGTTTGGTCATTTAGAGAGAATGGATCAAAGTAGAATGAGACGGAGAGCATTTAAATCTGTAGGAGAAGGAAGGCGGGGTAGGGGTCGTCCTCGAAAAGGTTGGAAGGAAGGGTTAAGGGAGGTTTTGTGGGCGAGGGGCTTGGACTTCCAGCAGGCGTGCATGAGCGTGTTCGATAGGAGTGAATGGAGACGAATGGTATTTGGGACCTGACTATCTGTTGGAGTGTGAGCAGGGTAATATTTAGTGAAGGGATTCATTGAAACCGGTTATTTTTATATAGCCGGACTTGAGTCCTGGAAATGGGAAGTACAATGCCGGCACTCTAAAGGAGGGTTTTGGGATATTAGCAGTTTGGAGGGATATGTTGTGCATCTTTATACGTATATGCTTCTAAACTGTTGTGTTCTGAGCACCTCTGCAAAAACAGTGATTATGTGTGAGTGAGGTGAAAGTGTTGAATGATGATTTAAGTATTTTCTTTTTGGGGATTTTCTTTCTTTTTGGGTCACCCTGCCTCGGTGGGAGACGGCCGACTTGTTAAAAAAAAAAATTAGCATTATTAATATGGCATCATAATTAGAGAGACACTCTTAGTGATTTTAATGTGCACCTGCATGCCAGCACAGTGTGTAAGTTTATTTAGGTACAGGTACACAAGAGTAAAATTATCAGAGTATACATAAAATATATAACAACTTTAAAGTTTCCAGACATAAAGGAGAAACTTGGAGCTCACAGAGAATGTAAACAAACCAGGTGGCACGTAGTGACCGTATTAGAAAGTCAGAAGGGGGAAGCTGCATAGCGAGTTTTGGTCATAATTTGAAGTGTCTGTATTAGCGGAATGCTGTTAAGAGACAGACAGAGATAGACATAGATACAGACAGACAAACAGAGAGCCAGGCTGCCAGCAAGAATTGTTTCTCTTTACTTACAGCATAGGTTATAAGACATTCTGAAAGGGTGTTGCACAAATGTTGCACATGGGTTATTATCAAGATTTTTTTATATTTCATCAACCACTTATGGCGACATCCACCTCAAAGCCACTAAACTCGGGGTCAAAATCACTTTCCTCTTAAAATCGGAGAGTTAATACTACATGAAATCAGTGAATCCCAGGTGTTTGCTGCGCTGTTTGCTCTAGATGGCGCTCATTTGAACTGGTGCTCCCACAAGGTACTGGTCCCAGATTTTTTTAATACCATGCACACTGAGTGTTAGGACCCATTCTATGCTGACAAGGCATCTCATGCCAATCGTGCCAAATTTGAAGGCAGAAAAAATTAAATGTATACATACATTTGGGGCACTAGCAGTAAAAAGTATATATACATTTGGACCGTTTACGAGTTAATCCCAACAGGTCCATATTTTGGATTAAAATATTCTTAATGGATGGTAAACAAGTGAAATGCAACCTTAATGACTCTCTGAGAAGTTGACAGGCTTTAAATCTCATTACCTCTTCCACTGCTGCAACCCCCAAAATTAAGTGTTCAGTGTCGTAATTTTTTTTTATTCATTTGAAGTTGTAGAGAATCTTTTTCTGAAAGTACCGACATCAAAAATGTGAAATTTGATGGAAAACCTACACAGTTATCCAGGAGCAAAATTTCACTAGTATGTTTTCTGGTCTATGTACTGACCAGAAAACATACACCAAAAAATAGCCAATAACACCTTCATATGAAAGTCAGACAGTAAAATGCCTCAAAGTTGCTACTTACACTCAAACAAGGTAGTCAGATGTTAGATGTTCCCATCATGCACTGCATGGAGCAAGATTTTTTTTTTTTATGCTGTGCATACACCACACAGACTAATTCTCTCATGTCTAGGCCAAAATTTACCCATCACAGCAAACTGTGGGCACCGAGATGAAGAAAAACAGTGGCCTCAATAACAGATATACACCTACCATCCGACTTACGACTGAGTTCGGTTCCGAGAAACCGGTCGTAAGTTGAAATGGTCGTAAATCGAACTTTACTACTGAATATCAACAAAACATTTTTGAAATGACTTTATTTTATTGTTTTATTTTGGTATGTCATATTTTACTTTTTATGCTGTTAGTACTGTATTTTATACTGTAAGGTTTAGGATAAACACTGTGTACAACACAAATATTTGTTTATTTCCCAGAAATTTGGCATAAAAAACACGGTCATAAGTCGAGTGGTCGTAAGTCGAGCAGGTCATAAGTCGGATGGTAGGTGTACATGAAAGATAAGACCTGACACTGATGTGTTGTGCAGTACCACTAACATCAAGGTAAATCACTCCATTCAACAACAAAAACAATCACATTACACATCAAAGTATTTTTCAACTTGCAATCTATTCTGCTGAGTAAGTACCTAATTATTATAGTGACACGTTGCTTGTGTTCATACACTGTAATAGACGAACATAATTCTTGCAGTATAAGCCAGAGCTGGCCACCATACAAACTTCATGCAGCAGTATTGTACATTCCAATGTGTTGTATATAGTATATAACAAATCTTAAAATATATTACAAAGAAATGTTTACTGATAAATTCCTTCTCTCTCCAAATTGGAGTTTCTTATTTTGTCTGAATGTTTAACAATTTGCCAGAAATGTGTGTCCCCTTCTGCCTTCCCTAGCCCCAATGTTTACCATCATCTTTATGTGCCTCAGTAGACAGACAGCTTTAGAAAAATGGTTATTCCAAGCTTTTCTTTCTGTAAACTTATTCCTTCCAGACGGCTCTCTCTTTTTGGTCTCCCAGTGTCTGTGTAGGTACCCATGTTTGTCTTTCCCAAACCTTTAAAACTCATGTAAGGTATACAGGTAAGTCATTAAATGACCACAACTGTAAGAGGTGGTCCACCTCTGGAGCCTTTTATATCCTAACCATTAGGATATAACCATTACTGCTCACCAGATGGTCTTAGGCTCCATAATAGTTATCAAATCACTTTTAAGTATTTACAGATAATACCTCTTATCAACAACATATTAAAAAGAATTCACTTACTTGAATTGCCCTCGAGTCCCAGGATCTGCTTGTATCCACCATGGGAAAGAACCCGCAAGAGTGTCTGTGCTGTTAAACACACGAGGTCTTGCTGTTCCAAGGTCATTGCTGTGTGTACACGAATGTTACCACCCTCACACGGATCACTGATGCCTGCAGATAAAGTGTCTATGATCGGGTTGGTACCTTCACTTCTTAGCATAAGAACAATTTCCAAAAAAGCCTACTATCTTCAATGAATTTAAGACTAACCTTCATATATTATCACATTCTATGTCACAATGAAATTAAATAGGAAATTTCCCTGATAAGTATATTCATGCAAACTAAGTGATAAAAATTAATAATGATTACAGATCATGGTGACATTTGAAGTGCTAATGCAGTGCAGGTATCCCCCATGTTCAGCAATTTTACATTTAATTAATTATTACAACACTTAATTTCATAGACCTCTTAGAATTTTATGCCCCTGCATCACAGTTCGTGTTTTCAGTGATAGTGTAATGGATGTGTGTTTGAAGCAATGTTGTTCTTTGTGTGGGGAAGAACTCTGACTTTCAGAGAGCATTGATAAATAAAATTTCTATGGGAGAGGTTGGTGCAGTGAGTGATACTGTTGGTAATAATTTGAATGGTTTGGTTATAAAGCTGCAACAAGTGGAAGAGAAACTATCTAACCTTAGTGGTGAGCTGCAGGGCCCTACTGTCTCTCCTCAGTCTTTTATATACTGCTAGGAAGGGCACTGAGGAACCAAAATGAGGAGAGAAGATTCACGCTCCGAAAGCGCCTTGCATCAGGATTAACAATCATGGGGTCAACACTGGTTCGGTATCAGCTGAGTCTAATTGTCAAGCCAAAACCACGTGCCACAGTGGACACCGCTGTTCTTACCCGTGTAAATTATTTAATTTGGAAGTCATTAAGTTCAGTCCCAGTAAAGAAAGGAGGGGAAACTAAAATCCATGCTTTGGTACTTCGTTTCCCAGTTGCTGAAGTGGGAGGCTGGGGTTGCCATGGCTTCCTGTTTTCCCACTGATGCTGGTTTAGTGTTCTCTCAACCCATCAAGATGCTGCCTACAATAACTACTGTGGTGGGGCTTTCACCTTCTTATTCATATGATGAAACTCTGGTACTCTTGCCAAGAATCCAAAAATCAAGGAACTATCTGAAAAAGACTGTCTTTAATTTGTTTTTTCAAAGATTAAGGATGGTAACAGGATGACTACTAAGAGAACAAGCTGAAGTAGAGAGGGGTGGTGAGGGGTACCACCACTCACCAACACTGGAGGTACCACTCTCCCAAAGGATTGCCAGGGTACCACCGCTCACCAACACTGGAGGTACCACTCTTCTGGAGGATTGTTGGGGGACTACCACTCACTAACACTGGAGATACCACTCTCCTGGAGGATTGCCAGGGTACCACCACTCAACACTGGAGGTACCGCTCCCCCAGAAGAGTGATGGGGTACCACCTCTCACCAACACTGGAGGTACCATTCTCCCGGAGAATTGCTGGGGTGCCACTCACAATTAAGATCATTTTGTTCATCAATTAATACCTAGCAACCACCACCCATCCTTAATTAATATTACTCTTTTCCGTAATGTAATGCTTCCATTCAGGAAGGAGGGAGGGAGGGAGGGAGGGAGGGGAGGGGAGGGGCGTGACTTCCCAGGATGACCAGCTCAACTGATGTGGTCAGGCATGGTTGACTAACTGGAAAGATCAAAACTCTCTTTACCCATATAACAGCTGTGGCCTACCTACCTGGAATAGTAATGGGCAACAGGCGAAAACAATGGCTTCTGAAATACGTAATGTTGACTTAAAGAAGACATTATATATTTATTGACTTCACCAGCTGCAATGTTTATGATAGGTTTTCCCCTCAGGGAAGGTTCCTTGATGTTGGTGAGGGGCTCTTGATTTAGGGAATTGGATCTCTGCTCCAGTTCCCCAAATTAAGCCCGAATGCCTTCCACATCCCCCCCCAGGCGCTGTATAATCCTATGGGTTTAGCGCTTCCCCCTTGATAATAAAAAAAAAAAATATGATAGGTTTTGAGCAACCCAGTGCTACCACTGTCAGGGCTTTGATCATACTGCAACAAAATGTCCTCATAAGGATAGTCCAATACAGAGCACTTTTTGAGCTGATATACCTCTGATATTCCCTTGAAGGGTTTTGAGAGTTTCCCTACTACCATAGCCCAGCAATGGGCCACTTATCTATTGCAGCTTGGTTGATCTGGCACTTGACAAAGGTACATATCCAATTTCCTCTTGAAGACTTCTTCACTTGTTCCAGAAGTGTTTCTGGTATCTATCTTGTGATATTGCTAACCAGTCAGGTCCCATGGATGTTGATACAATATTTTCTTGTTGTGTCCAGGACACTCCTGCTTTTCACTGGGTTTATTTTCCATATTTTCCATGTCTCACTCAAGTATGTTATGGCAGTGTGCAGATTTGGGACCAGGTCCTCGAGCACCTTTCGTATGTATATTAATGCATATCTCTCCTCTTCTCTCCTTTAACAAGTGCATATTTAGGAGTGAGGTGTTCCCAATAATTTTAAATGCTTTTTTGGTTCAGTGTGAGAAATAAATGATTTCTCCTGCCCTGAACAATAGGCAAGAAAGTTCCTCTTATCCACCCCAGCCTTTTAAAGGCTTTCACATTATTTGTCTATTTGTGTTCTTTGAAAAAAGGTTGGCTCACATCATTACATCCAGATTGTTCATGTGCTTTTCATTCTATTTGACCTTTTTACATTTTGTACACAGTCTCTTGAGTTGTTCATTCTTTCCTTATCTAAGAGATTAGAACTTGTCATCACTGAACACGTTACTCTCCACTGCAAACTGCAAGACTTTCTTTACATCTTCCTGCAATTTTTACCTGACTTCTACCAAGGTGATTTTCATCCTTATTATATCATCTGAAAATGATAATAAAAACTGTGGCAAGCATTTTTCATGTCTGTTATAAGGAAAAGAAAGAGTAAAGGCCCCTGCTTCCTTCATCAAAGTCAGTTGCTGCCACTGCTCACTTCATCAAGGTCAGCTACTGCCACTGCTCCCTTCATCAAAGTCAATTACTACCACTGCTCTCTTCATCAAGGTTAACTCACACTCCAAGATCACGTCCATTAAAAACCACTTGTCTCTATTCATGCTACCTAGCATGCTCACACAAACCTGCTGGCTGCTACAGCCCCTAAAACTCGAAGTTTCTGTTATCCCCTCCCTCCAGCCACTCCTGAGATGACCCTCCCCTAACCTTCCAACACAAATTTACACACCCTCCCTCCCTCTCTTCTTTTTTTTTTTTTACACAGGGTTTGACAAGCTTAGGTAAAAGATCCCTAACTTTATTGACAAGCTATTTATAAGTTAAGGATTCCTAACTTTACTGACAAACTAAGAGCTGTTACCTACATCAGCTCATTTGAAAGCATTTTTATTATGAAACATACAAGTAGGGAACAGGATGAAGTTGGAGCCATCTGTGAGCCAGCATTTTCATTTGATCAACTGAGTTATCTCACTGGCATCATAATGCTGTAAGAATGTGTTCCAGACTTGTGTCATCCTGAGGATAAATGGTCTCGGATTAAGTGATGTTCTGGAGAAGGGTACAGCCAGAGTGAAGTTGCTGCTTTTCTGCCTGTCTTGTGGTATAGAAGCTTGCTTCTCACTGTCCTCGAAGTCGAGCCAAGTGTGGTACTCTGACAATGTTGGCCTTGTGCATAACAGTAAGGCCACCCACATCCCTCCTGTGTTGAGGGCTCTGCTGAAATGACAGATCTATCCAGGATGGGTCCAGGCGAGAGATGAGACGTCTTGCTCTGTTCTCTACTCTGCCAAGCAGTCGCAGATGAGAGGGTGGGCAGGCAAACCAAGAAAGTGGAGCATACTCAAGGTGTGAGCATACTTATGCCTCATACAGAATCTTGCAACCCCTACTGTCAAGCACATGCGAGATACAGCAGAGTGCTGTAGCAAAGTGTTCAGCAGAAGTTCGCTTTCTCTTGACTACTAGTAGAGGTGATCCCATCCTGTCAATTTAGAGGTGGAATGAGTTCATCAGGCAGATAACCTTGTCTGTTCTTGACCAGGGACCACCAGGTTTTGGAGCCTACTCTACCTGATGCTAACTTCTTTTTGTGTCCACCTCCCATTTAGCGATGGCCCAGTTTTGAACTTTACTCATATGCCTAAAGGCTTGCCTGTGGAAGTTCCTATTATAGGTGGTAGGATGTCTCTTATACCTACACCATGCCTTGTACTTAGAAGTAGCAGCCTCTCTACAATGAAAGCCAAACCAAGACTGATCTGAAGGCTTCGTCAGATATTGACGATGAGGGATGTGTTCTTGTTGTAGATTAAGGAAGTGTCCAGTCAAGGCTTTCACTTGGGTGTCAACATCCCCTTGGAGAAGAGCATTCCAATTGGTGGTGGTGAGCTCAGAACAAAGGGATGGCCGATTACCTCTTTCCCATAGCCAGGTTATGCGTGTGGATTCCTCACCTCGTTCTGTTGGGATCTTAAGTGTCATAAAATCAGCCTTGTGGTCAGACGATCCAACATAGCCAAGTTACTATACCTTCTGCCAGATCACTCACCCTCTCCCTCTCTCTCTCTCCCTATCCCTCTCTCCCTCCCTCTCTCTAAACCACCTCAACAACCCCTTCTAAGCTCTCCCATATTCACCCAACAATGACTTTAAATTTTCACATTCCAAATTCTCTTTATGATATTCACAACACACACTGCCTCTAGCTTCCTCCTTGCTCGGTGCAACATTCAAAACCCATGCCTCATGCCCATACAAAAATGTTGATACCATTATACTCTCATACATTCCCCCTCCCCTCTCACCCCCACCTTTTTTGTGCCTCCACAGATTTATTCTTTCTTTCTTTCTTTCTTTCTCTCTTTCTGCACACACATACATCCACACAGGAGGGCACCGCTCATACGGCAGGTTAGGGTCTAGACTACCGCCATAAAGTGGAAATCTCTGTAGAGCAAATCACTTTTTAAATAATAAAGTTGGTAGAATTACCGACAATATGTAAAGTAAAAGGACACAAGTGCAACTAATGTGACATTTATTGTGGCAACGTTTCGCTCTCCAGGAGCTTTATCAAGCCATTACTGGCTTGATAAAGCCAGTAATGGCTTGATAAAGCTCCTGGAGAGCGAAACGTTGCCACAATAAATGTCACATTAGTTGCACTTGTGTCCTTTTACTTTACACTTTTTAAATAACAAAAAAGGCACAATACCGTGACTGGAACGATACACAAATAACCCGCACATAAAAGAGAGAAGCTTATGACGACGCTTTGGTCCGACTTGGACCGTTGACAAAGTCAATGGTCCAAGTCGGACCGAAACGTCGTCGTAAGCTTCTCTCTTTTATATGCGGGTTATTTGTGTATAAATCACTTTTTTTTTTTTAAAGTATATAAATGCCTCATAACATGTGTACACTATAATATATAAAGTTAGCAACAGAATCTGGCATAAAAAAAAACAATAAAAAAGCAAAATGCATATACAGTACACTCATTACTTACCTTAAAATATTTGTAGTTTTAATGAAGGGAGAGAGGAAAGTAGTATTTATTGTAGGAAGTTAGGTGGGGTAGCCCGCCCCGCTACAACGCCTCACAAATATGTTTGTTTTACTATGACTGCATATATTTTGTTTATATATGTAACTTATTTATTATACAATTTTGAAAAAAGTCATAGATGGACTAATGAAAATGTCTATAATAAGGTAATACGTATATGACATTTAAGAGTGCCCCCGAGCGATTACAGCCTCTCCTCACTTAGTGATGTACTCATTTACCGATGATTCTGACTTACAGACACTCTTCAGGTCGCTTGTTGTATCTAGTCAGTGTGCAGCACTAGCTACACATTAACAGCACCTTTCAAGGCAGGTGAAATTGCTGACCTAGAAAATGTACAGACAACCTTCACAGCATACAACTGTGATAGAACAACGGCGGTGACCCCCAGAACCCTCTCTAGGTATACTCCAGGTATAGTATGCATACCTAAACAATGTATATTAAGAGCAGATTTCCTCTATTCTGTTTAATACAACATACAGTACACTACTGTATAAACTTTTAAAAATATACCAAAAATGTTATAAATTGTGCAAAGGTGACATTAAAACAATATCAAAGAAAACTCAGATGAGTGTGTATACCTAAATGTGTACATACTTGTGTAGTGTGACTTAAGTGTAAGTGAAAGTAGCGAGATATACTTTTTATCATGTGTGTTTTTTATTTCAATGACCTGGCTGTATCCCACTGAGAAAGGGTGACCTAAAATGAAAAACAAAAGTTTCTCTTTTTAAATTTAGTAAAAAATGCAGAAGGGGTTACGAGCCTCTTACTCCTGGCATCCATTCAACCACCCATCACCACAACCATCACCACAACCATCTTCACCCACCATTACGACCATCAACACCTCAAACTGCCGCCAACACCACCACCCCCTACAACCCACTACTATCCATCACCATGACCATCACCCACCATTACAAACACCACCACCACCCACCACTACCACCCATCACCAAGACATAATTACCCACCATTACGACCCCGACGTCATCACCTACCATTACAACCACAACGTCATCACCCACCATTACAACCACAACGTCATCACCCACCATTACGACCACGACGTCATCACCCACCATTACGACTACGACGTCATCACCCACCATTACGACCACGACGTCATCATCCACCATTACGACCACCACCACCACCACCTCCCTCCATCACCACCTCCCACTGTCACCAACTGCCACCACCCCCTCCCACCATAACCACCTCCTGCCACTACCACCTCCCACCATCACCAGCGCTGTACAGCCCTTGTGGCTTAGCACTTCTTTTTTATTATAATAATAATAATAATGAAAGTATAGTAGTACCAACACTTTTATATGGGTGTGAAGCTTGGGTGGTAAATGCAGCAGCGAGGAGACGGTTGGAGGCAGTGGAGATGTCCTGTTTAAGGGCAATGTGTGGTGTAATATTATGAAGAAAATTCGGAGTGTGGAAATTAGGAGAAGGTGTGGAGTTAATAAAAGTATTAGTCAGAGGGCAGAAGAGGGGTTGTTGAGGTGGTTTGGTCATTTAGAGAGAATGGATCAAAGTAGAATGACATGGAAAGCATATAAATCTATACGGGAAGGAAGGCGGGGTAGGGGTCGTCCTCGAAAGGGTTGGAGAGAGGGGGTAAAGGAGGTTTTGTGGGCGAGGGGCTTGGACTTCCAGCAAGCGTGCGTGAGCGTGTTAGATAGAAGTGAATGGAGACGAATGGTACTTGGGACCTGACAATCTGTTGGAGTGTGAGCAGGGTAATATTTAGTGAAGGGATTCAGGGAAACCGGTTATTTTCATATAGTCGGACTTGAGTCCTGGAAATGGGAAGTACAATGCCTGCACTTTCAAGGAGGGGTTTGGGATATTGGCAGTTTGGAGGGATATGTTGTGTATCTTTATATGTGTATGCTTCTAGACTGTTGTATTCTGAGCACCTCTGCAAAAACAGTGATAATGTGCGAGTGTGGTGAAAGTGTTGAATGATGATGAAAGTATTTTCTTTTTGGGGATTTTCTTTCTTTTTTGGGTCACCCTGCCTCGGTGGGAGACGGCCGACTTGTTGAAAAAAAAAAAAAAAAAAAAAAAATAATAATAATAATAATAATAATAATAATAATAATAAAAATCCCACCATCACCACTTCCCGCCACCACCACCACCGTCCACCCCCGCAACATCACCCACCGTTACGAACACCACCACCACCACCCAGACCACCACCACGACTACCACCGCCTCCCGCCACCACAACATTACCCACAAATTATGACCACCACCACCACCCAGACCACCACCACCTCCCACTACCACCACCACCTCCCACCACCACAATCTCCCACTGCCACCATCACCTCCCACCACCACCTCCCACCGCCACCACCACCACCTCCCATCACTACCATCAAACACCGCCACCTCCCACCGCCACCACCACCCACCATGACCACGACCACGACCACACCATAACGTTCTCAAGAAATGTGTATTGTCCTGAAAAATGACCTACTAGTAGAGCCTAATTTGACCTTTAGGTCAGACTGAGCAAATATTTTCACATGTAAATTCTGAGCCAAGGATATCCATAAATACCAAATCTGAAAAGGCTTGGAGAATGTAGGGTGAAAAATTCCAGAAATGCTGAGTGTCTTGCTTTGAAACTGCCACTATATAAACTGTTTATTAATCATCATCTGAGGCAGTTTCCAAGATCATTATTATTTCCTAAATGGATTTTGTACCTCAATGCTAGACACCATTTTTTTCATATTGCTGTCTAGTACACAAGTTTGTTCACCTGGCAGCTGCTCAGACTATCCTGTATATCATAAGACTGTTCACCTGGCAGCTGTTCAGACTATCCTTTATATCTCAAACTTTTCTTATTTATAACCCAGGCTATTTCTATTCTTTATTATTTCTCAAGTGCTGATAATTTTGTTGAGAATAATTTCTGCTGTCAACAAGTGGTCCACATGAACCAGCAGCTGATGCACCTCCTGGAACAAACTAATCCTGGGTTTCATATCTATCATAATGCCCAGAATTTACAACACAGCTACATTCTTTTATAAAATAATGTAATATTCAAGAGCTACACCATACAATAAGATATTATTAAATGCTACAAATTTACATCCAGCAAGAAACTTTAAGTATGATACATTCAACACCAAAAATAATTACGAATTAAAAAATCAGCAAATTGCAAGCAAGTTTCAATAAATATAACTTCACCTATTTACTCACCTGCAGACCCTGGCAAAAAAAGACCGGCAGCAAGCAGTTGTAAACACCGTCGAAATGCAGAATTGATCGGGAGAGCTTGTCTACTGGGGTTGTTCAAAATTGCATAATGTGCCTGCGAATGAAAATTAAAACTGGCATTCAACACTTCATTCATCAATTAAAAATCAAGATTTTGTGCATCAGAAGAGACAAAGAAAAATAGTGTGGAAAACCTTAAATCATGTTTTCATGGTTCAAGTTTTCAATATTCTGCTATTTAAATTTAGTTTTTCATTTCCAACAAAGCACGCCAATTTCCATTAAGGCGCACCAAAGCAGAATTTGTTTTCATCAGTGGTATGCATTCCCATTACTGAACACCGTGGCAGGTAGGCAGGAGACACATCACTATGCATTAGGCAACTCATTTATTTAAGCAGTTCAGGTGAAGATGCGAGGGTCCATGAATGGATGTAAACAAAGAGCCTCCCACGTGGCTCAGTGTATACCATTGCTCAGTTTTAAGTCCTTTTTGTCACTCCACTGCATCTATGGATATCCAAACAAAGTGCAAGTGATGCTAGTGAAACACAAAGGAAAATTAAGCATAAAACTGTGCCTATTTCTAAAAACTTAGGAGGTAATATAGATTTGTGAAGAGTGGTGCACACGTCAGAGACAGCACCAATGTTTGCTGGTAGGGAATCAAAGATTCCTTCAGTTCAAGACAGTGAGACGAAAATCAAGGATTGTGTCACAAGTAATCCTCAGTGTGACAGTAAAAAAAACGAGGAATAAGTTATTACATTTTAATAAAACAAAGTTTACTAAATGTGCACTGAGATCAGTGGTCACATGAGGTTATCCTGTCCTAAGTTGTCTGGGAATTACTGTAGGGAGTTACCGAGCACCATGGCTGGCTGTAGTGTTTTAGAATCTCAGAATAAAGCGTAGGAGGAGGTTCCACTTCTTCAGGAGGAAAATAGGAGGCTGAAGCTTTGCCTAGAAGGGCTTGGGAGTGTGAGATGGTTGGAGCTGGTAAGGAGGAAAAGGTTACCAACAGTGAGCTGGAGAGTGGCAGCTGCTTTAAGTGGCAAGTGGTTCAGAATTCAGGAAGAAAAAAGATAAGGAAGGTCAATAGAGAAGATGTGAAGGTAGGAAATCGATTCTCTGTTCTCCAGGACAAGTGTACCTCAGTGGTTAGTGAGGTTAAAGGTACCACTGACTCCCCTGCTAATCAAGGTAAGAATATTCTGATTGTGAGAGACTCTCAGGTAAGATATATGGACCGTGCTTTTTGTAACAGTCACAGGAAGGTCAGACAGAGAGAGTGTTTCCCAGGAGCTGGTGTTGGTGACATAGTAAGCAGGCTGGATAATATTCTGTCAGGTAATGGGAACATGCCCATTATCTGTCTTAGTGCTGGTGGAAATGACATCAGGAAGGGCAGGAGACAGGAGCTGTTGGATAAGTACAGGTCAGCCATAGATGTAATCAGATCTAAGGGAGGGATCCAAATCATATGTAGCACCTTGCCTAGAAGGGGAGTGGGCAATGAATGGATGTATAGGGCAATTGGTCTAAATTGCTGGCTAGACAGGTACTGCAAGGAACTTGCAATCCCATTCATTGATAACTGGGACAAATTCTATGGCAAACATGATATGTATGCAAGGGATGGGGTACATCTGTCTGGGGACGGAGTGGTTGCATTAACCTGTAAACGGTCCAAACGTATATATACGTTCTCTACCGTAGCGCCCCAACTTTTTTGAGAAAAAAAAAATTTTATTTTAATAGGAAAAAAAAAACATATCGTACCCAGGCATCCCCAATTATTTTAATATGGCGCACAGTGAGTGCGCATACCCATTCTCTCATGTCTAGGTGACTCAGGCCTATCGTGGCAATGTTAAATGTATGACAAATAAAAAGTATATATACGTTTGGGGCACTAGCAGTAAAAACGTATATATACGTTTGGAACGTTTATGGGTTAACTAACTCGATTGAGGGGGGCCATTGCTGACTTGTCTACTACTTTAAACTGATAGATTATAGAGGTATGGGTGTGTGTGGGAAACAATCAAGCTGCAGTACAGGTCCTCCATCACAAATCCGGCATCATTGGGACCTGTAGTGTGCCGGATTACTGAGTTTGCCGAATTACAGAGTGGTTAGGTTAGAATACACTTAATAAAATTAACCAACTTGACTTACACAGTTCATTGAACATCAGCAAAAATCGAACATTTCCGCTACTTTGAGCTCAATTTTAAGGTACTTTTCGTCATGAAAGCAATCAAAATCATGTCTATTTCTGTAATATATCTTCCATTCTATCAAATGAGTCCAAAAAATGAGAATACAACCATAAAAACCATACAAAAATATACTGCAAAGAGGCGGCTAATGACTGAGAAGTTAACTCCCTTATTTATCATCCATCTTTTTTATTTTGTTGTACGTTAAGAAGCATCTTTCCATCATACATTGCCCAAGTTTCAATGAGATAGCCCAACAAACAACCGAGAAAAAAAAATATTTACCAAAAATCATATATGGCAAGCCCAAGCCAGGTACTGGAAATAAGTCACTTTGTCTGACTTTTCTGGGTTATCCCAGGTTCTCTATACATACACTGCTATGTATGATAATCTATGTAACTGTATTTGTGTATACCTGAATATGTAAGCTTATTTACTTCTAGTCTGTCAACTGAGTACAAGAAACTGCCCATTCATTTATTTCAACTACCCAATAAAGTGGTCAGAAATTGGCAATTTGGCCGATTTCACACAAATTTCAACAGATGCCAATTTCAAAATAGGATCCAGAATAAACAATGCAGACATTCCTGGCACTAAAATAACATTTTCTCTGTTAGTCACAGCTACATGCCCCTCTTATATTACTCTTGCTTTTCATTTGGAATTTTTATTCACAAAAAAAATATGCAGACTGCTGCATTATTGTAATAATTGTATAAATAATGTCAACCCATTCCTGACTCCTTATTGAAATTTGGACTGGCAGGTGGACAGGTATTGGATGGTGACGTCATTTGTTTACTCTTGAGCTTCACTAAAGAATAGAACATTTTCGCTACTGTGAGCGCAATTTCAAAGTACTTTTCGTCATGAAAGCAATCAAAATCATATCTATTTCTGTAATATATCATTCATTCTATCAAATGAGACCGAAAAAATGAGAATATAACCATAACAACCATACAAAAATATACCGCTAAGCGGCCGCTAATGGCTGAGAAGTGAACTCCGCTATTTATGGTCTGATTTCTTTCATTTTTGGTGTACATGAAGAAGTATCTTTCCATCACACATTGCCCAAGTTTGAATAAGATAACCCAACAAACAACTGAGAAAATAATAATAATAATAAAAATAATATCTTTATTTACTACACGTACATGTACAAGGTATACAGGCCTAGCTGACATCAATGACATACTACTGTATAGAAAGCCGCTTGTTATGCAGAATATTTCCAGAAAATTAGGTCAGTGTCCCAGGATAACATCCGCACTAGTCGGCTAACACCCAGGTACCCATTTACTGATGGGTAAACATAGACAACAGGTGTAAAGAAACACGCCTAATGTTTCTACCCTGGCTGGGAATCGAATATTTACCAAAAATCATATATGGCTAACCCAAGCCAGGTACTAAAAACAAGCCACGTTGACTTTTTTTAGGTTATCCTAGGTCTCTACACATATGCTGCTATGTGTGATAATCTATAGAGAAAATAGCTTTTTTGTTTCAGGTTTATGGTGCAGTACGAGTGTATATGACAGTTAGCCCTGTGCTACACTCCGTTTTCTCTAATATAAGCCACCAAGACAGGGATAGGAAAATGGTATTTGTATACCATATCCTCTTCATACCTCCGTCAAACTGCTCTGTGTTATGCCAAATATTATTCATTCTGGAGTATTTAACATGTTTTATGTTATTTATATTGTTTATTATGTCATATTAGATCAATTGTGATAGGCAAATAAGCTGTAGTGTTGATATTAGCGTAATAATAAAGCATATTCTCCTGCTTCATGAGACTGAGCTCATGGCAACTGACAGTGGCTTCAAAGCCACCTTATCTTTAATGGATAATGTACTGTGTAGGTGCTTTACATAATGAGAAGCATTTTTTGTATTCATTGGAACCATGGCTAGGGCTAAAAGCAAGCAGGTTAAAACAATAAATGGAGAAAAAGAAATTGGAATGACTTGTGCAGCAAGTAGTGCCACCAAACAGTACCAGCAGGTTGGTGTGGCGACACTGGAAATTTGAAATTATGCTAGCCAAAATTAGTGCTGAATAACTGAAGGAACCGAATAACTGATTGCCGGATTTGTGGTGGCGGACCTGTACTAAGGTTGAAAACAGCAGATATTACCAGGATACCTCAGGGATATGTTTAAAAGACAACATTCAAAATAAAGTTGCAAGTAAAGGCAAAGCAACTGATCAACAAACAAAGAGAGATAGTAGAGGGCAATAAGTGACTAGCTCCCTTAAGGTTTACTATACAAATAGCAGGAGTCTAAGAAATAAGATAGATGAGCTAAGATAATCTCAATATCCACATTACCTGCAAGTGCAAGTAATATAGATATTATTGCTATAACGGAGATCTGGTTCAACCTGAAAGATAGAGAAATGCCTTCTGAATGCAACATACAGGGTTATAAACTATTCCACACTGAAGTCAACAAGGAAGGGTGGTGGACTGGCGATGTATGTTAGAGATGATTTAAACTGTTGTGTTAGACAAGATATCAGATTAGAAACATCAGACACAGAATCTTGTTTGGCTACAGTTTCTCGAGTCATGAAAAATTAACTTTGGGTGTGATTTATAGGCCCCCAAACCTTAATAGGGAGTGCAGTAAGCTGCTATGGGACGAAAGTCATAAGGCATCTAGATATGAAAATGTTGTGTTAGTGGGAGATTTTAACTTTAGACAAATTGATTGGAACAATGTGACAGGAAATCTTGAGTCTAGTGACTTTCTTGACATGGTTCAAGATTGCTTTTTAAAACAGTTTGTGACAGAACCAACTAGAGGAAACAACATGCTTGACTTGGTTCTTGCCAACAAAGAATCG